AAAACCCACATCAATTGTACCTACAAATGAGTATTACATATCTTTGAAGTTAAATAAATAGAAGGAGTGCTCATGTATTGCCACTGCCCTCCCTCCCCATAACAGCACCTTATGGAGATGGACTCCCATGTATCCTTCCCCAAATGCATCCTCCTCCATGAGTGGTTGCTGCATGTGGAGAAGAGCCAAATGCAAATAGCAGGAGTAAAGAGGGGACTGTCATATTAGGTTGGAAGCAAAGACAAGACTATTGCTTGCAACGTGCAAGAACTTTGCCATTATTTGAGAGAATCTGGTCAGGGCAGTAGATATTCCACCCCAAACTGCCTGATGATTAAAAAAACTAGTTTGATAATCCCTGAGGCATTTAATACTTATAGGAGGGTCACAAATTATTATTATTTGGTACTGGGAATTGAACCCAGGGGTGCTAGACTACTGAGCTACATCCCCATCCCTTTTAAAATATTTTACTTAAGACAGTTTCAATGAGTTGCTTAGGGCCTCACTAAGTTGCTGAGACTGGTTTTGAACTCTTGATCCTCCTGCCTCAGCTTCCCGAGCTGCAGGGATTACAAGTGTGTGCCACTGTGCCTGGCTCAAGAGGGTCACATACTCTAGTACACAAAAATGTTCCTCCAACAGTGATGCCTATAGTCCCAGATAATCAAAAGCTGAGGCAGGAGGATTGCTTGAGCCCAAGAGTTTGAGACCAGCCTGGGCAACACAGCAACACCTGGTTTCAAAACAAGAACCTCTCCAACACCAAAAAGTTGACAATGATGAGTCCAGCCAATTGATATTTAAGTGGTTTAACAAGTTTTTGCCATTTATTCCCTGCTGTTGAAACACCCTACAAAATAATAACTTTGCTGCTCTCCTTTTTTCGTCCTTACTGTGAATTAGAAACTCACACAGGGATGCAGGAAATGAACTGCACTTCTACCATGGGTTTGGTAATGTTCATGTATGCAGCAGCCACTGAGACCAGGAAAATTGGACATAATTTTAGGAGTTACTCAGTTTGTGTGGGGATTAAGTTGAGAAAAAAACTTGGAGCTGTTAGGGGTAATTTGACTTTGGAGAAAAAGACACAATTGAGGCCATAAGGCACAATCTTGGAGGGATGCCCAGAAAATTTGGAAACCTTGTTCCCATCCTTCTCTAGCTTCTCTGTCCTAGAAATACCTGGCTTCCGGATCTAAGACGGTAAGGGGCTCTCAAAACTTGCCACTGAGATTTACTGAAGATACTGTGATTGTAATTAAATGACTTGGATATTTTTCTTTACTTTCATAAGAGTCAGAATAAGTAATACCCTAAATAATGCATATGAATTGAAGGTTAGCTTCTATGCTAAAATGTGTTTTTTAGGACAAGTTTTTTCTCTAAGGAAATAGACACTCTTCACTGGAACTTATTATTTTTGCTACGTATTGTATGTATACACATATATTAGTTGTAGATGAACACAATAACTTTGTTAGTTTTACATTGTGCTGAGGATTGAATCCAGGGCCTCACACATGGAAGGCAAGCACTCTCTACCATTGAGCTATATATAACCCCAGCCCCAATTTTTGCAATATTTAAGATAACGACATAACTTATTCTTGAAAACCAGGGCATTTTTAAAATGTAAGGGAATATTATGAATAATTATGCCTGAAAAACAAACCAGAATTGTCCTGGACAAACTGGGAAGCCTGACTATTTATAGTGCAATCTTGGTGTTCAAAAATATCTTCATCTCACTATGTCACTTTCTTTTTTTGGTATTGGGAATTGAACCCAGGGGCACCTAACCACTAAGCCACAAACCCCAGACATTTTTTTTTTTTAAATTTTGAGACAGGGTCTTGCTAAATCGCTGAGGATGTTCTCAAACTTGCAATCCTCCTGCCTCAGCCTCCCAAATTGCTGGGATTATAGGTGTGTACCACCGTGCCCTGCTTCGCCATGTCACTTTTTTAAAATATATTTTTTTTAGTTTTAGGTGGACACAATATCTTTATTTTACGTCTATGTGGCGCTGAGGATCAAACCCAGTGCCTCATGCATGGTAGGCGAGCACTCTATCACTGAGCCACAATCCCAGCCCCTCGCCATGTCACTTTTAACCCTCAAGTTTAAAGCTGATTTTAAAATGGTAAGTTAATATAGGCACCATATTAGATGTGCATTCTTTCAGCTATACTGATAGACCACATAGATCTCTTAGGTTAGAGCAAACAATGTTCCACTTCTTCCTCTAATGGTTCTGTGAGCACTAGTATTTGTTTTACAAACAAGGCAAATGAGCACAGGAAGCTAGCCAACTATCCCAACTCACAGTCCAGAACTCAACTCAAAGCTCAAAATAAAACTACTCTGTGCATTCCCAACACTTTTTTTCACTGAACCATAATGATCTGCCTTGTAGAATTTCATCTCTCTTTTTTAAAAATTATAGATCCACCAGACATGGAGACCTATCACCACTTTTCTGATAAGAAATCTGTGAAGTTTCCTAGTTAATGTACCTTCTTCATCTTACATCTATTAAGGGGTAGGGGAAACCAGCTCAAGTCAATCCTAATCATTTTTAAGTTAAATAGTTCAGTGGTTTTTCTCTTTTGGTACAGATTTCTTTGGACCTTCAAGAAAGGATCCAGGTATTCATTTAATACTTGGGATTTTGTATGTTGCAGTAACCAAGCAACAGTGAAGATGGTTTAACTCAGCCTGTCCTGCATTGGCAAGTTTAAAAAAAGGACTGTCAAGCCACAGTTGGCAGAACCTCCCTCTGACTCTCCCACCCTCTGTCTAGTTCATGTGCATCTTGGCTGCACAGCTGCTGCTAACAGAACCCTCTTCTGTTCACCACTATGCCACCCGTGGTCTAGTCTTTACCACAGCTGGATGCTCATGTCTCCAGTGACTGCCGACTTATGGAAGCTAGTGGTTTGACCATTTGCTACCTTTTAAAATTCTCATATCTGTATCTTAAATCTCCTAACTGCTACACCTTTGAACATTATTTTCTTTTATAAAAATACATTTTTAAAGTACTAAATTGGTGCTTTTAAGAATTGTGATTATTCACTGTGCATTTCAAACACCAGCTTTTTTTTTTTTTTTTCAGTGAATAGCCAATAAAACTTGAGACAAAATACATGGAAGGTGTGCTATATATAACCTTCAATGTTATGGATCTGACTTTCTGGGTAGTTTTGGAAGCGTCACACTACGGCACATTATATGGGAAACTGTTCTCAGGAATAGTTTCCTCCTGTTAGGGAAAAAGCTTTGATAAAAGTCACATCCAGGACTTTAATGCCAATTCCACACAGGAACCATGTGATCTCTACAACCTCTTGGATACATCACCTATAAAATGAGGATAAGAATCATACTTGCTCTTTTGTTGTGAGGCTTAAATGGGATAGTGTGTGTAAACTGGTAGGTATTTGTCCTAGGGCGTTGCGCAACATGAGCAGTAGTACAAATTGCCTACAGAGGAGTTATACTTAGCTTCCAGGATATGAAGCCAGTTGAGAAGTAGGACAATTTATGAAGCTCAATTGATTTTAGCTTCCTCATCTAGAAAGTTAACCAGTGTTACCTTGGAGAAGTTTTCCCACAGCTTTGATACCTGCTCAGTGGTACCTTACAAGAGGACAAGAAACAAGTCAGGATGTCTTGTGGAAGAGAAAAGGGAAGGGCCTAGACTGATTACCCAGGAACTGCACAAATAGGTACTGCATGCCTGAGCATAATATTAATGTAGTGGACATGTTCTCAATGACAAAGAGGCTGGCTCTATTGCTCTATTATTCCTAATGTCATATTACATGATATGACATTGGGAATTTACTTTGCCTCTTTTAAAGTTGGTTTCTTATCTCTAAAGAGGCTATTTTAAAATTACTATAAAAATAACCATTAAATAAAATGAGGTCTGACATAAAACCACCATAGAAAGAGCTTAAATTAAAATTTTTTTTTCTTGCGTGTCACTAACACTTAAATATGGCTTAGAATCCAAGATGGCCTCAGATTCTACTATACTTGGGAACCTGTGACTATAAATTATTTAAGCAAACCTCAACTAGAAGCCATGGTCATCTTCAATAGCAGTTTTTGATTTTACTTCCACTCCAAACAATTTATCAGTGAGTAAAATACATAAAAGTGGAATTGTTCTAGCAAATGCAGGGGGAGAGACTAAGCTTTAATCATTTGGTATTCTCCTCGGTTCTGGAACCCCAGAGCTCTCCAAGTGTGAAAAGAGATTACTGAATTTGTCCAAATCAGGGAAAAGGTTTAAATGCCACAGGAATAAACGCCATGGGACAGCCCTAATTCTATTCTGGCACTAGAATTCTATTGCATGTCTTTTTTGAAATAGGTAGCTAATGGGATTCAATTCTAATTTAGACATGTTGCAAGAGGCCTGATACTAGGAGTATTATACGGTAGTAAAAATGGACCTGCCTGGGTCAGGTCATACAGGATAGCCTTTTTGTTCAGTTACAAGACAAAAAGAAATCTCTGCTAATAGTAGAATGGACTACAAATTATTTGTTAATCCTCACACTGGAGTTCCAAGAAACTCTTGTGGGAAATGGCCAACTATTCCAGGCTTAATATGACCTTCACTAAATGTGCAGAAGTTGTAGCCATAGTAGCTCTTGTTTTTAACAGCAAGCAGGGTAGTAGCAACTGGGGCAGAGTGGGAAGGTCACATGACTTTGCACAGACAATCTGGTTACAAAGAACGGCCAAGCCTCGAAGGGAGGAAAGGTACTGTTATGTGGACACTGTTTCTAAAAGGGGTTTTTGGAGGAAGGGCTCTTTCCAAGTCAGACAATCTAAATTCCTAAGTGAACGCATGTCACACACACAGGCATCTAAAAGCCTTGTTTTCTTTGACAATAAATATGCAGTTAATTAGACTCATAACTTTTCAGGGAAGCCCAGAATTGGGCCTGGAGAATAAATACATGGGAAAACTGCAAAACCATGAAAATACATTTTTTAAAAAAAGCTTTCAGGTATAATACACAAAAGCAAACAAGTTTATCTTAAAAAATATCAAGTATCACATCCATAGCCTATTCCTAATTATAATTACTTCTTAAAGCAACATTTCTTTGTTTACAGATACAGCAGCAGGTGATAAAACCTAACATCTCAGATTGCTTACAGTTCATAATACAAACAAATGTATATGTCTTAAATCACATTTTAGGCAGTTTAACTTAAAATGCATAGACAATTACATACATTAAGTTTGTCATTAAGTCAATGAAGAAAAATCACAATTTTAAGAAGTTACAAAAAACCTTTGTAGAGCACACATAAATCAAGTTTGCTTAATGGCAACAAATCTGTACCTGCTTATCAATGATGGGCAGTCAAAGTACCTTTAACCAGGGGCAGTGTGAGAGGGAAAAACACCCTATTACTTTGTACACTTGAATAGCTGCACTGATCAACACTAACTTCTTGAAACATATTTTCTTACTTAAAAAAAAAAAAAATAAGAAAGAAAAAAGGGCATCACACACCGCCCTTTAAAATGCTCCAAAACTGGTTTGTAATTTCTACTAGCAGCTCTTCTAAAATATAATGGGTAACTAATAATAGGTGTACTAATGAATTACGTAAAGTCATCCCTAGACTAGGAGCCCCTCAAGGATAGGGATTTGCTTTCTCTGACCTCTGGCATAGCACCTGATCACAATATGTGATTATTGAATGAACACAGACCTCACATGTTTTCTATAGCCAGAAGTCTGCATGGCATTTTAATACTGATTATTTTATTGGCAGTGTTTCCCTTGACAGAATTCTGAAAATAAAAAGAACAGTGTCTTTTGATAATATTGCTTTACTAAGATTATAGTCTTCCCTTGAAGGATGCCCACCATTTTCTAAGCATTTTATTAATGATTCTTCTGAGTTTAGCCTTATGCTTTTCAAATTAATGGTAATACTTGAAAGTCTGTGCTTAACTTCTGGAATTTATAACCTGGCATTTCATGAAGCTGGTTCTACCTCACTCGGGGTGAGGAAAACAGTGGCACTAACTGTTAGAAGTGCAGGCAAGGACTAATATGCAAACCAGTCTTTTAATGGAAACTTTAAGTAGAGCTATTTTCACCTATACCAAGTTTAAAAACTGTATATTTGAAGTCAAAAGGCAGCCCTAATTAATTATTTGTGAGGTAATATATATCATGGGCAAATGATTTCTAGAAAATATTTCATTGTAGTTGTGACTCAGGCCCTTTTCTTTTCTGAACTATTATTCTCTACTGAAAACAAACAATAGCAAAATGGAGAAATAAGGAAGATGGTCCTTGGTTAATTAAAAAATGTTTATTCCTGAATAACCAATATATTACTTTACACAATAAATGAGAGCTGTAAATAGCATCTTCAAAAGCATGAAAAGGTGGCAGGTAAGACCTGGAGAAGCCCAAGTATTTGTAAGTCGTCCTTTATTTATTATTAGGTACTGGGGACTGAATCCAGGGGCACTTAACCACTGAGCCATATCCCCTGCCCCTTTTATGTTTTGCTTAGGATGGCTTTGAACTTGTGATTCTCCTACTACAAAAATGTGACACCATGCCTGGATGAAGTCCTCCTTTAAGGAGCACTGAATTTTTAACAACTCTGTGAATAAGGATCTACGGTCTAGGTTTCCATTTTTCATTATTTGTGGGTTTGGCATTTTAAAACTTGAAAAAGATTCCAACTCCAGAACACCATTGTTTATGAACATATTGTAATTATTTTTATCAAATTTATTTAGAAATTCTTGTTTGAAGCCCAAATGTAAGCATATTTGATAGTGTGTATCCCTTAAGACCAAATATGCTTGGCAATGTCCTTCCATAAACCAACCTCAGCCTAGCCTGACTTGTTTTATTTATTTTTGGTACTGAGGATTGAACCCAGGGTCCTTGACCATTGAGCTACATCCCCAGCCCTTTTTGAGATAGGGTTTAAGTTGCTGAGGCTGGCTTCAAACTTGTGATGCCCTGCCTCAGCCTCCTGAGTCACTGGGGTTACAGTTATGTGCCATCACACTTGGCATAACTTGTTTGAAAAGCATTACTCCCCTACAAAGAGTAAAACCCTTCCCATATGCTTTTCCTCATCTGTTCACTGAAACTTTTGCTTTTCTTATTTCCACCCTAAACCTAGTATCTTTTAGCCCAGAGTACTCATAAGAATTGAGACATCCCCACTGCAAACCCTAGACAATTAGAGAAATGAGCTCTACAAAGATACAAGTACCAGTCGTAAGGTTCTTGGGGGAAAAAAAAGTTAAAATGGCAGTCTGGGTCACTGGCAAATACTTTTAGGAGTATTAAATACTTTTAGGAGTAATAATTTCAAATCTTGGCCTTATAGCCCTTCAAATTGTTTAGTAAAATATTTTTTCCCATAATAAATGGACTCCACAATTATAGATCTCCACACTTGCTACCTCTTTTAGTGGTGTTATGTTAAATATTTCATCTAAAGCTAGAGTTATCTCAATTTAGGACAGTCACAATAACTATAAATAGAGGTATCTTTGCTTTCTCATTTTCCTATCTTATCCTTCCAGTTAAATGACAGCTTAATACTGATAAATTTAAACTATGATACATAAAGTTACCTGTTTTGCAGACTGGAGACTACTTTGACTAGAGTCCTTAGAGTATGGTAGATACAGTTACTACCTGTTCTTAAAAAGAACTGAAAGAACAACAACAAAAGAATACTTTTGCCACTATGTAAGAGCTAAGAACCTTTCCCAGTCTGAAGATACTTAAATAAATTAGTTTCTACCTTTGCCAATTCTGAAAGCTTGAATCTATCACCTGCTTAAAATAAGGGACGTTTAAATGCTGATGTTCCTCTCAAAGGTGACCATATTCTTTTCTTAAAAGGAGGTAGCTATCAAATCATTAAACTGGCAGCACTAGGCATTCTTGACATTTTAATTACTGGAGAAATAAACTCCTGAATATTTTATTTCAAAGAAAAAACAGCTCCAGCATAAATGTTTTCTACAATCATCTGAGAAATCCACAACACATTTTAGTAACCCAATGGATACATTCAAATTTTCAAATCATTATTGATAAATAAGATCAGATCTACCCCAAATCTAAGACTGATTTAAAGGCAAGGTGCCAAAAAGCAACCAAAGCTGTTTTGGTAGTTATAAACAATACTCAATATTTAACAACATAGTCACACTGCTTTAAACTCAGTTGCAGAGAGCTACAATTTATTATTTTCACTGTAGAAGATAATGTTTTCAAAGATGGTACTCAATTCCACTTATCTGCCTGTCAACAAATACAGAACTTAACAGCCATAAATACTTTACAGATTCAGGAAACTATGCAGGAGACAATGACATAGCTTAACCAGACTCTGAAAGACAGAAACATTTTTGATTCACACTTGTACAAAGAGAACAGTCATGTCTGTACGACTTATAAAGTTCTCCAAACATAACTGCTGTATATTCTGATAACAAATCCCACATTGTGTGCTAGTATTCTATATAAGGGAGTCATCAAAAGATGTGTTCCCTCTAAAGAACTGGGGGGTGGAGGGTGACTTCAGGGAATGGTCTGGGCAGAAAATAAACCTCTGGTTTCATGGAAATGAAGCAATTTCTAGGGTTTATCTAGTTTGAGGTTTAAAACAAAACAATTCTTTCCTTGAGCTCTTCCCAAAGCAATATGCATATCTTACAATCCATTCTAAAGTAATACAAACAGATATCCGTTCTCTGAATGGATTAAAAAGAAAAAAGTTAGGGCTATGGGTGTAGCTTAGTGGCAATCTAGCATGTGTGAGGCCCTAGGTTCTGTTCCCAGCACTGCAAAATAAGACTAATTTTTCATAAATGGCAGATTTTAGAGCTGAGCTATATAATCCATATGGCAAAAATAAAACAAATCTAAGTTTTTTACTAAAAATCTGAGAATAAAAATGAACACTGGCTGGATAATGAACATCTGATAGTAATTAGTTTAAAAAAAGGTGTATCCAAAATAAAACCATAAGAGGACCAGGTTTATTTATCACATAGGAGAGCAGCTCAAAATGTTCAGAGGCATCATTTGTTTAAATTATAATGTGACTGTTTTTGAAGTTTATTTGGGGGAGGGGAGTGATTATAGAAAAATACTTAAAATCTGCAACTTCATTGGCAAAATATTTTAACAATAATCCATATCATCTTAGATTTTTAAATGTGTAGTTTCATAATTTAAACAAATTGTATCAAAGAGCTATTCAATTTAATCGTTTTCCCCCCATGAAAACCAAATAAAATCACACCTGAATGATTTACTTCTATGTTTTTATCTTCTATGTTTTGTACTACACATCCAAGAGGCAGATATCTTCTGAGAGGTGCAAGAGTTGTTCTTTCATGAATGCCCTCTAAGAATAGTGAAACCAGCAATTTTTATATATGCATTCATTTGCATATATATGTACTTCAAAAAGCAAAGCGCCATCTCTTCATCCACTGTTAACTTAATGGTAAGACTGCAATAGAAAAAAGAAAAAGTCAACTTCTAGATTTTATAAATGGAGTTTTTTAACTCCTTGCTGTGGCTTAAAATAAATTTATTGTTTAATAAACCCAAACAGCAAGTCAACTCATTTACTCTGGCATACATCTAGCAGAAAAAAAAAAAAAAAAAAAAGAAAAAAAATTTTTTTAGAGAATATATATAGCAGATATAGCCGAGATGGGCATTTATTAGCTGGAGTTCTGGTTAGTTTATCTTGTGGATTAACAAATCTTTTTTCTTTTCCTTTCCTGTAAGGAGAATCTTGACTCTGGATACTCACTTGGCTTATCTTGTGGGGGATATTGCGTACTTTTTTTTTCCCCCCAGTCATATACCTAATAGACTCCTCAACTAAAATATCAGCCCTATTCTAGTCTGACTTGACAGTAAAGCAAGAAAAATTACATTTAACTCATAATCAGGAATAGAAGTATAATCTCAAGCTCAACGCTACTAAGAATTGAACAAAACTTTGGCTGAGAAGCACTAGGGGGAGTTGCCTGAAAGATGAGCAACATACTCATTGTCTTAAGTTCTCAAAAATTCTCCCTCCGTATCAAGTCAGATAGGAAGAAATTGCTTTTATTAAACCATGCTTTAGTGTGATGCTATAAAAATAATATTGAGAGACATAAAAAAAAAAAACACAACAAAACAGTCCAATTAAATGCATCTCAAGAGTCTACAAAGGATGCTGTTGAGAACATTATTCACTGTTATAAAACCTTTAGAGATCTTTGGGAAATTTTTTCTATTATTAGTACCCGGAATATTTTTGCTCTTATCTTTTTAAATGCTGTATCTAAATTTTCAAATTTACTCATTTTATGTATTTGCGAACCTTAAAAAAGATTTCAAAGACTCTATAATCTTCCATCCAGAACTGGGAAGAAGCAATTTTTCAGTTGTGCTTATGTAACTATTAGTGCATGTGAAGTAACAAATTGAACACTCACATGGGGGCCACCAGGCATTGGCGGAGCACCAGAAGGTCCTGAAGGCACTTGAAAAGGATTATTGGGAGTAGGATAGAGTCCTGGTGTGGGATATGATCCTGCAGGGGCAGGATATGGTGCTGGTGGTCCCCAGGCTCCTGGTGGCACAGTGCCCCATGGAACAGGTGGTGCTGCCCCTGGTGCCTGGGGAGGAGGAGGAGTGGGATATGGCCCTGGAGATGGATATGGCATATTAGGAGTAGGATACTGCCCTCCCATTCCTGGTGCCCAAGGTCCAGAAGACATGGATCCCCATGGACCTAAAGGACCAGCTGCAGATGGATCTGTGGGTGCACCATATGGTCTAGGTAGCTCTGGAAAGGGCATATTTGGTGTAGGATAGGGCCCTGTGGGGCCAGGGCCTGGCACAGATGGGGCTGGATAAGGACCACCAGGTGGGGGACATGATGGTCCAGAAGGAGGAAAGGGTGCTGGGGGTCCTGGAGGTGGTCCGGTGGGAGGCACGGAGGGATACATTCCTGTTGGTGCTGGTCCAAAAGGCACAGTGGAGGGTGTTGCACTTGGTGGGAGTCCAGATGGCACAGAAGGTGGAGCACTTGGGTTATTCCAAGGGTTGGAACCTGGCCAGCCTTGAGGAGGTTGACCAGGTTTGGTATTGCTCACAGCAGGGGTTTTGGCAGGGGAGTGTTCAGGTAGTGCATCTGCCAACTGGAATACAAAACAGACATGTCTTATTTGTCTTATCCAGGAAAAGTCAACATGATTATAAACTCAAATAGACCAGCAAACCATCAGAGTGAGGGATTACAAACCTCAATAGCATCTTCAAAAGCTAATATGTATTTAATATAAAACTTGAGTTGTTACCTTGATTATCAGTGCAATTTTTTTCAGAAGCTCAACTTCTCTAAATACAACTGATGAGATTTCTCATTTTCTTTTTTTTTTTTTACTTTTTTTAAATTATTAGTTGTTCAAAACATTACAAAGCTCTTGACATATCATATTTCATACATTTGATTCAAGTGGGTTATGAACTCCCATAGATTTCTCATTTTCAAAAACAGTTAACTTGAGGTACAGTTAACTTAAGATACCATATGTAATAGAATAAACATAGTGCCTGCTATAAAATAAGTTTCAGAAAATGTTGGGATTATCACTACTATAAAGTGTGAAAAAGAGCAAGAGAAGCAACACAAAAAACTTCATTTAGAGATTCATAAACACTTCTGGATACATTTTCAACCATGCAGTTATCTATGTAAATAAGGTAAATCACCTATTAAAATCACATGCCAAAAAATCCAAGCATCACAAAAAACATCTTTTTAGACAGGACCATGTTTTCCTTAAGAACCAAAAATAACTCATCAAGGATAAACATCAACTTACCGAAAATTCATCAGACATTTTCCTAAAGAAAGAAATAAAATTTCAAAATCAGTATTTATTATTTCTTTTATAAACTCAACGGAAATTTTATAAATGTATTATTTTTACTTAAAGGGAATTATCATTTTATTTTGTGTTTTTCTTTATAGGAAAATTTTTCGACAGGAGTTCATATAGCTCTATCAACTTCATCCCTTTTAATGGCTACACACCATGTAATAATGACTATATAGCAAAGTAGTTTCCCTGTGTTGCCCAGGCTGTTCTCCTCCAACTCACAGACCCAAGCAGCCCTCCAGGTCTGCCTCCCAAGTAGCTGGGACAACAAGCACATACCACAAAGCCCAGCCTGATCCACACTTTAAAGTTCTGATTTCTGTGGCAGTTTAGGTTGTAACAATGATGTAGTGAACATCTCTGAATACTTAACTCTGCTCATGTGTGAAAAAGTACCATGAGTGGAATTCACAGAGTCTACTGCTAACTATTTGAGAAACACATATCAATTTACATTGTCACCCTTTTTTTTTCTGGATATTATTAAATTTTTATGTCATTTTATTTCATTTTGTGTGGTACTGGGGATTAAACTCAGGGTTGTTCCACTAGAACTTTCCCAGTCCTTTTCATTTTTTGACAGAGTCTCACTACTTTGCTGAGGCTGGCACTGAACTTGTGATCCTCCTGCCTCAGCCTCCCGAATCCCTTGGATTAACACCACACCTGGCTATAAATCATTTAAAATCATGACAGATTAAAAATTGGCATCACATTTTAATTTACATAAGTGGAAGGTAGAATAACTTTTTTTGGTACTAGAGCTTGAACCCAGGGGCACTTAACCATCGAGCCACATCCCCAGCCCTTTTTATTGTGTTTGAGACAGCGTCTTGCTAAGTTGTTGAGGCTGGCTTTGAACTTGCAATCCTTGCTGGGCAGCTAGGATTATAGGTGAGTGCCACAATGCCCTGTAAGAATAACTTTTTAATACTTAATTTACATTTCTTTTTCTGTGAATTTACTGCCATCTTGGACCACATTTAGCCGTTTTTAAATTTTTAAAACCTTTTTGCAGTGCTAGGGATTGAATCCGGGGCTTCTAGGCAAGAATTCCATCACCTAAATATACACTCTAGCCCCACCATTTTAGAACTGAAATACAATTAACACTCAATAAAATACAAAGATCTTCAGTATTCAGGTTAACAAGACCTAACCATTGTATATTCCCTGTAACCAACCCAAATAAGATATAGAATGTTTTCTATCACTACAGGAAATTTATTCGTGTTCTTTTCCCAATCACCTATTCCCTATCATCACTTCTGAGTTACTTTTGCTTGTTCTTTAACTTTGTATGAATAGAATAAGATAGCAGGTTCTCTTTGTGCCTTTGAGAATTTCACTACTTAGTAGTACCATCATTCTCCTCTCCCCTCTGCTTTGTAAGATACTAAGAAATCAGCTGTCATTTATGAGACTTTTTTTTTCCTACTTAGATCTTTTCAACTATAGATCCCTTAAATGGTATTTTTTGGTATAAAAATTTTAATTTTTTCCCTATGTATGACTTCTGGATTGTGTGATGTATGTATGAAGGCCTTCTCCACTTCAAGATTAAAAAGAAAATTATATGTTGATGGTTTAAATTGTTTAAAAATTTAAATTCTTCCAAGAAATTATTATCAAATAACCTAGGTTTATCAAGCAATTAAACTACCTTCAACACTTCATTGCTGCTACAACTATTATTTGTGGAATGGTTATCATTGAATGCTCAAGGTCTCTACTTCTTTAATGCAAATTCAATTGTCATCCCCAGTTTACAGCTGGAGAAAAGGAAGCTTAGCAAGTTACTTTTTTTAAAAGTCTTAGAGCTAATGACAAGTAGAGCAAGGGTTCAAACCCACATACAATCTGACCTCAGAGCCTCAAGCAGGCTACAGATCTGGTGGACTCTATTATTTTCTACTGATTTGTACTTAGCTTTTTTTTAAACCTTTAATTAATTAATTAGTTAATTAATTAATTTTTAATGTGGCACCAAGGATTGAACCCAGGGCCTCACATGTGCAAGGCGAGCACTCTACCACTGAGCCACAACCCCAGCCCTGTACTTAGCATTTTTAAAACAAATTTTAGTGTCAGCTACCCTACTATTTTTCCCAGGTGTTCCTGAATATTCTCATGTTTATTTTTTCCATGTTATTTTGTAAAAAATTAAAGAAATTGTTGGTGTTCTCATTGGAAATGCATTAAATTTACAGATTAATCAAAGGGACATATGAGATTTAAAATGTCAAACCTTATTTGAGAACAAAATGTGTCTTTCTTTCAAAATATGCCATTTTTTCTTTTCTCTTTGAGACAGGGTCTTCCTATGTTGTCAAGGCTGGTCCTAAACTAGTGTGCTCACCTGTCTCAGCCTCCATTAGCTGGGACTACATGCATGTGCCAGCTAACCTGGTTTAGTTCGTTTTCTTGATCATATCTCTTACATATTTCTTACAAAAGAGATTTCTGCAAGCCCTTTTTTTGTGGTTGTAAATAGGCTCTCCTCCATTATATTTTCTAATTGGTTAATTATATAAATGGGAAAGGCTTTTAAATTTTTAGTATATTATTTTCATAAGCAGTGACATCACTGAATTATCTTATTCCTAAATATTTTTCAGTTGACTCTTTGGGGTTTCCAGATAATAATTTTATATTCTCTTTCCAATATTTACAGCTCCTTTCTCTTTTGCCGCAGTTAGGATTTAAACAATGAAATGTCAAATGATGACAGGAACACAGTGATCTTGTTTCCAACTCTCCTGGAAATGATTAAGTATGAGTTTCATTTTTAGTTTTAGATTTTAAAAAATTACAGTGAGATTTTACTTATGCCTGTTACTATACTTATTTATTCCTATTTTAAGCACATGAATACTTATTAGTATTGAGCCATCTTGCATTCATCATGAGGAATAATCTTGCTTTTTATTCAAAATATCAAAACCACACCTTGAATGTATTGCAAACATAATTATCCATTCATTTAAACATTAAGGTCTGTGTTCCACTAAAATCACATTATACAATAATACTCATAAGGATCAATGTTAGATGAAACTGTCAATGTACGATATGTTTGAAGTCTATATAAGACTGGCATACTGTTCAAATATAGAAAATACTCTACACCAAGATTCACATTGCTGGATGTGGTGGCTCATGCCTTTAATCCCAATGGCTCAGGAGGCTGAAGCAGGAGGATGGAGAGTTCAAAGCCAGCTTCAGCAAAAGCAAGGTGCTAAGCAAAATTCAATGAGACCCTGTCTCTAAATAAAATTCAAAAAAGGGATCAGTGATTAAGTGCCTCTGAGTTCAATCATCAGTATACCTTCCCCCCCCAAAGATTCACATTAATTCTGGAGCAAAGAATCTTATTAAAGTGACCCATTCAATTTCATATGGTCTTGTTGGTCAGGTTTTCAGAATTTTTCCTTCACTCTTAGTTTTTGAAAAACATGATATCCATTGACTAGTTAAAGAATTTCATGAATATAAATTATATAACAAACTCAAACTAATACACAACTCTGGCTTTAAAGTTTTTAAATCAAGTGTTGAAATAATGAAGCCCTGACCAAAGGAATTAGGAATAGGTCACTTCCTGTTCTTCCTCACTGCCTTAGTAAATAGACCTGCTCTCCATGCTTAAAATAAACATTGTTCATGTTAATTGGAAACATTCCAATTTGCTCTTTAGGCTATATTTTCATGTAAAAATTGATTGAAAAAAAGAGTTGGGACATCAGTAAATCAACATGAGTAAATTTACAGAAATTTTCTAAACAGCTATTCTAATAAAAGAGTTGAACTACAATAATTATTAAGATGAGGCCAGTGTAAACTTGAATTTGTCAAAAAAAAGCTTATAATCAATAAATGTTTTCATTCTTCCTTTTTGGTCTAATTTAAAGCTATTACTTTCAACAATTTCCATTACAACTTTATGACACAATCTACCCATTACCTGAAAAACACTTAATTTCTGAGCAGCAAGAATAGCAATTTCAAACAGAGTACAAAATGTCTTTAACATACACTAGAAAAGTAAAAACATTTCACTGACACCTAAGGCCTTTAGAGGGAATGACAATTTAATTATAAGAAGTTAAGAAAGCTGAATTCCTAGCAACATCGGACAATAATTAAAAAAATCAAATTGTGATGGAGTGATAAATAGTATGAAATATACTAGGAGACCTGGATATCAATCCTTTTAACAAATGCAAATTTTCAAACAAGAGATCATTTTCTTATCTATAAAACACAGAATTCCTAAAGGACTTAAGGGTCTATATTTCCAGAGCCACTCCTGACACCTAGCTACCTCATACATAATTAAAAAATAATTATTTATATAAAGTGCCATACAATATTTATTCAGAGAAGCTAAACCAAGTGTGTTGGCACATGACTATAATCCCAGACACTCCAGAGGCTGAGGCAAAAAGATCACAAGTTCAAGGCCAGCATGCAACTAAGCAACACCTGTCTCTTAAAATCAAAAAAGGGCTGGGGATGTAGCTCAATGGCAGGACACTCCAGGGTTCAATTCCCAGTACTTAAAAAAAAGGAGCTAAGGTAAATCAGAATTTTTGTGTTCATTTGTTTAGGATGGGCAAGACTGTGAGTGTTGTATTGAAAACAAAATTTGAATTAGAATACGTACTAATTTTTTATTAGCAAATTTATGAAATTATATTCCATTTTTTACACTGGATAATTCAAGAAATTGTGATGAAAAAGTTTTGAGCACTTAAAATTCCCAGTAATACCATTTACATTTATTTAGTTACTTTCTGGAAAATATGTGATAGGCACTGTTGGGCTGTGGGAAAATTAGTACTATGGAATGAATATTCCTGAGAAGTGGTGTTTCTGCAGTTTAGCTAGACTATAGAAAGCAAAAAAAAAAAAAGGAGAAAATTTTAGCAGAAAATTCTTAGACAAGTGTTTGAATCATTTCACTTAAAAGTCAGTTTACCTGAATGGACTTGTTTCTTCATCAATATAAAATGAACCAATAAAATTATATGGAGACTAAATGGGACTCTTGGATCAAGTCCTAAAATCATGCTTGGAAAATAGTGGGTAGAAAACAAATATCAAATTCTCTTGTCTTCCTTTGTATATGAACAACATGGCATGAAATTAGAAGAGTACATTGCCTGCTCTTCCCTAGTTGGCTGGACTCTGGCCAAGTACAACTTTCCCAATTTCAAAGGTAAAGGGAAACAGGAATAGCATTCATCTCACAGATTTGCTATGTGATTTATATAAAATAAATTAACAAATCTCTACCTGGTATAGAACAAAATCTCAACTAACACTAGCTTTTACAACTTCTGTCTTCCATAAACCTTTATCTGCTGTTCTCAATCCAGAAACATTTGAAAATAATTTTCCCCAAGTTTGGCACAAAACTTATTCGATGGCAAAATCTGACTTGAAGCTATTCATAGTTTTTACTAATTCCCACTTAGATTGAATATTCACACCCACTGCTGTACAATCTATTTTCAGAGCCCAGGATAGAATCTAGGACTCTGCACATGCCAGGCAAACACTCTGCCACTGAGGTGCGGTCCCAGACCCTGCATAAATATTAATGTTAGATTATGGGGTGCTACCCCGATTCTGCTGGGGGTGTTACCTCATTTATATAGACCAGTCTTTCTAAAATATAAAATAAGAATTTCTGGATCCTAAAATATACTGGCAGACTGGAGATAGGCATTTACCATTCCTCCTGGAAAGAAAACTAATATTCCAACATATACAACTCATAAGTTTCTAAAGCAAGTTAAGTTTTGCATAGGAGACTCAAAGACACCAATAACTAGAAATATTTCTATTATTCCTGCCCAAAGAGTACTATTGAACAAAGAACTTATGAAAAACTTCGGAGGGCTATGCCCACAATGAGGATTCGGTTTCAACACAGGCCTTTAACAACCTTCAGGTGTACAAGTATTTCTCCAGTAGTAAGGCTGTAATATTTTTTTGGTTCAATTTGATTTGATGCTTCGACATTAGAAGCATCATCTATTAAAAGCACGCAGTTTTCAAGGTAAAAAGAAAAAACGGTTCAGGCATTTACAGGCGACCACGCATAATACGTGCTTCTAAATCCTAAAACGAATGTTAACAGAACTTTGCACTTGTAGTTTGTCAGGGGAAGCATCTAAAGCATCTGTAAGCAACTCTAGTTGAGCGGTTGATCATGAGCTCAGAGACTCTAGTTAAGAATCGATTCCGGCCTTTCTCTCCCTTTTCATCAGAAATTAATGAATGGGGTGGTGGGGGTCATGGCAAAGGGGCACAGGGCCGGAAGCCCTGAAGGGCCAAGCGAACAAAGGGAGTCCGGGATCAACCGGAGCGAACCGGCCACGGAGCGGGTCGCGCCGCCCGGGAAGGGGGGGAGGGGGTCGGGTCGGCCAGCTCCCGCTCCGCCCCGCCCCCAGCCAGGCCTGACGTCAAGCGCCGAGAAGCCCACGGAGCGCGACGTCAGCGTTCCCCGACGCCTTCTCCCTGGGGGCGGCGGGGGGAGGGGAACAGAACGCCTGGCTCCGGCTCCCCAGGGTGCTCACGGCCCAAGCAGTGGAGATGACTCAAGGCACCTCGGTTACCGCGCCCGTCTCCCGGTTGCCGCGCCCGCCAACCGCGCAGTCGCAGCTCCCAGCCCCCTCCGCAACCCTCAGGAGCGCCGAAGCAGCCTTACCTGGCAAGATCCGAGCCCGCAGCAGGATGTAGCAGCGGCGATGGTTTAGAGGGAAATGGGCGATGAAGAACCAGGCGGAGCCTGACTGACGGCAGCGGAGGCAGCAGCAGCAGCAGCAGAGGCAGCAGCGCGCGGCTCCTCCTGGCGCCGGAACAGGAAGCGCCGAGCGCACCGCCCCCGCCCCTTGACCGGGCCGCGTTCGCCCCCTGCTGGGCGCCGGCGGGACTGCGCCTAGGCGCCGGCCGCGGGCTGCCGTTTTCTCTTTGAGGACCGCGGGAAAGCTTCCGAATTTTCCTACCTCCCAAGGACTCAGAGCATCGCCTGTAGTCGGCAGTGTTCAAGGTAGCCTCATGGAAATTGCCACTTGTTGACTTTGACTTGAGGGCAGATTCTGGATCCCCACTCTCGACTCCAAGCATTTTGGGTGTGGGACGCGGTCTGGCCAGACCGAAGGCCCGGACCCTCCGGACAGAATTGAAGAGAGCTGACTAAAAGGTCATTGTAGGAAACAAATGTGTGTAAATGGTTTGACCAGTATTTGCTAAAGGTTGTCTGCAGACTTCTCCCAATTCACACCTCTCCTCATATGTTCATTTTTGAATAAACATTAGGTACCATATAGTGGGGCCCAGGAGGTGGACACATGGACCCAGCCAAGGAATCTGCTGGGTAGTAATGATGTTGTAAGAGTGATGTGGGTATAAAAACAAATACCGGAACATACATTATTTTTATATAAAAATGTATGTAGTTACGTGTATGTAAGCCATTAGTGGGTTAGTGGGTGACCAAAAACCTCTTTAAAAACACCAAGTGGACCTACTCTCCAGTACAGTTTTTAACTGAAAAGGAGTAACAGGAAATTTGGATGCGTAAGACTTGGGGTAGTCCTAGTTGGGATGAAGGCAGTTTCCGAAAATTACACTACCAATATGGAGGACCTATCCTGTCCTCAAAAGAGGCAGCGAATCAGCAGTGATTTATGGAGTCATTAAAGCCTGGCGTAACAGAAAATAATATGGTCTGGTCTTAAATGCAAATTTGATATCTTGCTCTCATTTTTTGAATCAAATCTAAAATATCTGCATCATAATGTTACCTTCTTTTGATTAAAAAAAAAATATACCCAATTGGTGTGCCTCCCTCACCTCACCTTAGTCCTGGACCTTGGGTATTGAAAGCTTTTCCTTGCCTGCCAAGGACCAGTAAGGGAGCACTCTGGAGGTTCTATAGGAATGACATGTCTACAGGAAACATTTGCTTAGTTACAAACTCCCCATCTAACACTTTTTCAACTGATCTGTCCAGTTCTTTCAATTCTTTACAGTTGTCAGATCTGCAATGTGATAGGAAGACTTTCTACCTTATGTTCCCTTCCCTTTTAACCTTAGTTTCACCACAAATAAATCTTGCAGGTATAATTGCATCCTGGCCTCTGTTTCTGGAAGCCCCCAAACTGATAAAAACTAAAAGTGTATACAAACGGACGGTGTGTAAGGATGCGGACTTTTCAAAAGTGTTCCTTTTCAGATTCCAAGGTGAATGTGTGAGGTAAGGACATTTTAAAAACAAAACACAAAGTCTTTGGGTTTCACATGTGAAGATTTAATTAAGTGAAAAATTGTTCAGATCAAATTGTTTAAACTCACATCCAAGAACAAACAGTCAACATCAAAATTAGAAATAAAAGTGGAAATAGACTACTTTGGGGGGTATGGTGTGGATCATACAAGCCTGATTGACAAGAGTAGTTTTGTGAAATTACTATTTAAAACTCTGAATATTCAAGTATATATTGTTTGTACTTGGCTAATACAGATTTTATTCAATTCTAGCAAAATCAGCATAATTTGAGTAGTTTCCTTAAGTTTCACACCATGGCTCTCAAGGCTGAAAGCTTAGATTTGATCATAACCATGGCAAAGTGATTATCATTTTTATTGCAAATGTAATCAACTTAAAAAGACAAACATCAATCTGACCTTATGAAGGGCAAGAGGAAATTGCAATTGTTCATTTAATTGCAGTCTAAACCATAAATTCAAATTGTACTGTTTTCTATTGTCGAATCAAGCCAAGAAAGCCTATTACAGACTACAAAAAGTGAATGTGACTCTGCAGGGTCTACTAAAGAAATATTTTGAAAACCTACCATCACATTATTACTTTATGGGTGTACAGCAATTATTTTCAAGTATGCTCCATGGGTCACTTCTTACCAAAGGATTAACCTTCAGGAAGTGAAGCGAAAAGTATTACCTACACTTTATAGGAAATGAAGGCAAAGGAAGATGTTAAGATTGAGTAAGCTATTCAAAATTACAAAGAATAGCTTTGAGATAGGATTTATGAGCTAACCCTCTTTCCATTGTATTATAAGCAGTCTATATGTTGCTTACAAGCCAATGTATTTTTAAAAGTTACCTCATTTTTTTGTGTTCAATGTGTTAGTAAAGATTTATAGTGCTGTTTGTTTCTAGTAGGTCATCAATAAAGAAAAACTTTGTGCTTTGTTCTTTCTTTAGAAATACAAGTGAATGTAAAACTGATTATGCTAAAACAAAAATGGTTAAAATATTTTTTTCCCAAAGTAGAAACAAGATTCCTTGACTTAAAAAATCTTTTACTTATGTGGGCATTACTTAACATTTCTAAAATAAAATAAATTACTTAACATTATATAGTAGGCTATTTTACATTATTTTGTTGTCTGTAGGAATGTATTATAACTAAGTCTACTTTCCTGTAAAATTTGCTCTACAAAAGTCAAAATATAAAATATGACATGACTATTAGATTCTGAATATAGCTAAATGTGATGAGAAATATTTTTAATGAAAACAAGAGTTAGATCTCAAGGTTTTTGTTTCATAGGAAATAAGTGCTCTAATACATGGATCTATAAAATGATCCAAACTTCAGACACAGGAAGTTGATAACTTGATTTATCTTAATGGCTTTGGCTCATGAATAAATGATACAATTTTGTTTTCTTATCAAAAGAAGTATAATTTATATGAGTCCTATTGCCACATTTGTTCTTCTTTTTAAAGGATTTTTAATTACTAAAGCATTCTTTATATTATTTATAAGAAGTCAAAACTTTAACTGAAAGCTGTTTTTTTGACCACAGTTGGCCATTAGCTGAAATTCAGGAAAGAACACAAGTTTGATCACCAAATCAATAAATCTAGCCACAGGCTGACTAAAAGCTTCCTTTAATCTTCCTATTAGGTCTTCCTTTAAATTAAACCATTCCCTCTATGAATTATTTAGGTGAATGCATGGTTATAGAAAGATTACATATGACTTTTCATACAAAATGCTAAGGAACCTAAAAAAGAGAAAACCCCATTCAGCATATTCCAAGAATTACAGCATGAATTAAGATGCTATAGATTAAAAAGGTGGTGGTGGGGGGGAACGTGTGCAAGGAGAGGATATATATCCTGAAAAGCTTGAGAGAAAAATAGAAAAGTGAAGTTTATTTCCTGATTAGCACAAGATAATTCCCAAAGCACAGCTAAGTGCCTGGTCCAGACAAGCTATTAGCTATTAAGTAGTTCCCTTTCACTGTCAAGTCTTTTCCCTGAGGTAATGCCTAAATTCTTAATATCTTATTTTCTTTTAGATCCATTCTCTTTTACCAGTAAGCTCTACATATTTCCACCATGCTGAATTCTTTCTCAACTCTGGAGTTTCTACTTTTCAAATGTTCATAATGTTTAGTCTAGTGCTATAAATGTATCTTAGAAATTTTGTATCTTCACATTTTTATTCTCAAAATTTACTCATTTTATTATTTTGTTTTGTTTCTGCAGTACTAGGGCCTTGCTCACATGAGGCAAGAACTCTACTTCTGAGCTACATCGCCAGTCCTTATTTTGAGACCTTCTTGCTAAGTTGCCAGGTTGGTCTTGACCTTGCAAACCTCCTGTCTCAGCCACCCAAATAGCTAAACTTACAGCAGCCACCATGCCTAGTTCAAAATTTACTCATTTTAGTTACAGCCCAATAAATACATTTTTGATGACTTATATAATACTGATGTTGTTCCATGTGTACTCTCACAAAAACATAAAGGGGATAATCTTTTAATATTCTAATCACTTAATTTTTAGAAAATTAAGTTTTTACTCTTTCCCATTCATGATAAATAATTCCCTCCTCAAGTCTTTATGTATGTCTACTTTCCAAATTTCTTTTAATTGTAGCAAATACCAAAGGGAAAATACAAATCATTTCAGAGTAAATGAATTGCCTGGCTGTTCTCATGTAGTAGATACTTCAATGATGCACATATGGCAGTATTTTCAAAATGTTAAGAGCTATTAATACCTTGAATTGAAAAAAATAAAAAAGCCCAGAGAAAATATACCACAAGTAATCAGTTTGAATTATATGAAAAGCTATTTAGATCTTGACTTTCATAGAAACACTAATTTTTACCACTATAAAAGATAACATAATTATATTTCATTTTTCTTTATAAAACTACCCTTTAACAGAATATTCATAGGCTAGTCATTCCTTAGGTTTTCAGTACTGATAAAAAGTTATTTTTAAAAGAAAAATATTTAAAATAATTGTTTCACAGAAACAGAAAGTCTTATCAAATTCTGATAAAAAACTATAATCATGGGTAGAGTCTTACCACACTATTTTCTTTCACCAAAGATGGTTATTTAGGAAGTGTTATATTAATAAGATAAGCTTCTCAGTGATCTATAAAAGTGCCACAATAAAGATGAGGTAGTATGAGACTTTTCTACCTTTGTAAAAGGTAAATATCATCTTTAGAAGTGATATTTATCCTGACACTGATGTTATGATAATCCTGAGTCTCATCACTTCTATAAGAGGTGCCACTTGAGTAGCTACCTTTTGTGGAGATCGAGACAATCTTGAGACCACTGAGAAGAAAATGCTAGAAGATAATGGTAACAGATTTTCCTGGTTTAATTTTGTAATTGCTAAAAGTTTACTTTAAAGCTATTATTGAAAAATGCTATTTTTATGTTAATAGCAGAACTGCAAGATAGGAAATGGTATTTCAACATAAAAGCAACAATAAATAAAACATTTGCTCTACCTTGGACATTTTGTAGGTCAAAACAAAATTCAATCCAAATAGAAGTTTCCTAATACAGCTAAACTAGCATCAAGGTATCAATGGCTATATTAAAAAAATGCCAATTTGTACAAAGGGGCAGACAGTTCACCAAAAGGAAAACTGTGGAATCTTTCTAGATTTATTAGTCACTCTTTTAAAAAAGAAGAATAGGATATCATTTCATTTTATTAGTTACACTGGGCTAATGTTTCTAAAAATGCTGCCCTCTTCTTGGAATAGTAAATTTGAAACATGATCATTTTTTTGTTCTGTTCAGTATAATTTTAGTATGCCAGATAGCTTTCCTTTTTTGAAGTCACATTAAAAACCAAAGTTAATTCTGAAGATAATAATTATTTGGAACTTGAAGATCAAAAAGTAACACAAAGCTTCCTGAATATTGATCTCCATGTATACTTCTTGAATCTTTATTCAAGTCAACTGAAAATAATGAAAAACTACTTAGGTCTCCTCTTTGGTTAACCAGTAGAAATTTGTGGTTGTTTATAATCTATGGAAATTCCTGAAAGTAACAGGCTCAGAGCTTCTAAAAAACAGCTAAGTAGAATCAACAGTTCATAAATGAATACAGAAAAACCCTAGTTGCTTTAATTACTAAGTATTAATATGGTTATTATTTTTAAAGTTTTCATTGAGAAATAAAGTTTTATGTTTTAAAGATGGTTTAACTCAGGTGGGGGTTTTAGTTCAGTGGTATAGCACATGACTATCATGGGTGAGGGCTAAGGTTTGCATATGTGTGCACGCACGTACACATAAGGATGATTTAACTTTTCCAGGTAGAGAAGACCACCTATTTAGGAATAGCAAATGACCATGCCATATTGTACCATAAATGCACCTCCAGAATGTCATGTTTTCATTTGATGCTAATTGATTTGGATTAATCCTGTTTTACAGTTAATATTTAAATTAAAAACACAGAAAGTTTGACTTTAAGCCATTTTGTTACCTGTAACATTCCTATAGTAAATTATAAAGGTCAATTACACTAGTATGGATGAATCGTAGCACTCATCTTTACTGAAGAATTTTAAAGCTCAACCAAAAGGGGATGAGGAAACTATATTTTATGTATAGGAACACTGATAGCATAGGTTAAAAATATTTTACATGTAGAAAAGAACATAAGTTTATTATTAAAGAAAAATACAGAATATCCAAATGTATTTGTAATGCCTACCAAATTTCAAATATGCCTGGACCATCTATAAGTTAAGGAAAGAAAATTTTAAGTATACAATTTACACAATAAAAACCCAAAGTGAACATACATGGTTAAAAATATATGTTAACATCCAACAATTAGTGTAGCATAAGAAAAATAAACAGATCCAGCAGAGGCTTATTTTCGATTCCAACTGCCTTTGTAGAAAAATTCAAAGAGGAGTAACAAGAAAAATAAAATGTTAAATGAAAATACATATGCAATTATTCCCATGTTACTACCCTTTTCCTAGCATTGTTGTTCTGGCGCATCAATCCTGAGTACTCTAACTTTTGATTTATAATGATACTCCTTCAAATATAATTTCATAGAAGGAGGAATTGGAAGGGCATCAATACCATCGTAAGTTGTACAATTACAAATAACTGTTCTGCAAATATGCTGCAGGGAAAAGGGGAAAGTCCGAATTAAAGGAGTGGATAAAAGTGGTTCAAAGAACATACAGGCACTTGGGTCCTTATAATGTTCCAGGAGCCCAGTAATATCAGGAGAATGGAAGACACAAGGATCATGTGCATCAAAGCTAAAGTTGTGATTCCATTGTTCAATTCTAGCATGGAGAGAACGACTATAGCGTCTAAAACTAACAGAGAATAAATAGTCTTCCTGTGCTGAGTCTCGAAGTAAAAAGGTACCTTCTGGTTTTCCTTCTAGTAGAGCTTCAGCTGCATATTTATCCATAACTCCCCAGTAACATGGATTGTTATTGATCTGAAGGAGGTCTGGTACAAGACAGTGAACATAATCAATCTGAGTGTGGTATTTAGGAGGTGTTTCCAACTGTAGGATATCATCATCCATTTCCCATTTGGGTTTGTTTCTTTTTCTGGAACTTGTGCAAAGTGTTATAATTTCATCATCTGAATCCATATCACTATCTTCTATACTGTTATTTGGACCTAGGTTCATCATAGAGTCAGTCACGGGACCACCTCTACATGAAGCATTGTTGGTAGTTATGACACAAGGTTGAACATTGGTATGAGAGAAACAGTTTACATCTTCCATGTTTCTTCGTTTTAGCTGACCATCCCTCAATTCACTCTGAGACAAGTCTGTGCTTACCCATTCATCTGATTTGGGACTTATAGGAGCAGTGTGTCGTTTAATAAAATGCCATCTGAAGGCTAAATCTGATCGAGGTGGGAAAGGACACTTATCTAACATTAGTTCACTGATATGAATTTTTCTTCTAGATGGAAGCCCGGAAGAGTGCCGACTACTACAATTCTTTATTGGAAAACACTGCCCCACAGCATCTTGCAATTTTTGTTTCAGAGATCGGCCTAAAAATCTATGACCACAGGAATGATCTAAGTCCAACTCAATGGATGAACAGCTGTGATTTCTTTCTTGGCTCCTTAAAGGAACTTCAGTTTTCTCTATAGTATCCACTGTTTCAGCATCTGAACAACTCTCACTCTTTTTCGACCAAGACAACTTCTTTCCACTCCACACATAACCATCCTTTCTGTCAGCACTTCTACTTCGACTAGTTTTGGGTCTTACATCTATATTTTTACTATTATTTTCACTACTTTCTGCCATTTTAACAAATTTATCCACAGATTCCAGTGTTATAAATACTGCTTTTTCAGTTTTTCTGACAGGATGTTTCTTCTGAGCACTTTCCAGATGTATCTAAAGGGGGGGAAAAAAAGTCATTAGCGATGTGTTATCCACCTTTTATTTATAATATAAAGCCCCATTAGACACAGATGAAAACATAATTAGTACATGAAAAAGATGAGTACTGGCTATGTTGAAAGCAGTCCCAAGTGTTTTGTTCCCACTAAATATAATCTTGGAGTTCCACAGTCAAGAGTCTAAGGTTCTGTTCCATAGCTCATTTCCAATGTGTATCAAAAAAAGCCATGTCTGCTCTCTCAGCTATAACATAGGCTTAAATCTGAATAATTTCTAGTCTTGAAGTGTATTTCCTGCCTCTCTCTTTTCATTTTATTTTAAAATTTCACAACAGACCAGTGAATTCTTTTTTGTTTGTTTGTTTTTGTGGTGCTGGGGATCGAACCCAGGGTCTTATGAATGCTAGGCAGATACTCTACCACTCAGCCACATCCCCAGCCCTAGACCAGTGAATTGTAAGAACTACAAGTCTTATATGCTGTCTACCCTATACTGTTCCTTTACTTCCTTCTTCTTGTTTCTGTTCCTACTGATTAAAATATGAACAATTTTAAGCTGCAAAGTTTAGAAAGTATTAAATAAATAATTACCACCAAGCAGTAGGAATGTAGTTTTGTCAATACATTTCAACTTTACTACTAACTTATGCAGCTTTCTAGAAATATGGAATTAGACTTTTATTCTTGAACATTTCTTGAAAACAAGTAGATTTCTATAGGATATTACCTCTCTTATGAAGTTGGGTAGACAGGATAGAATTTACATTGTAAAATATTGAGTTTCACAAAGACTCATGGCAATGATTGGTGATAAGTAGAATTAAAGTATTTTTCAGTGAAATAAGATTTTAGGTCAGAAACTAAGGGAAGAAGTTCTATAATCCCAAATATATTGCAGATGAATTTTGAGACTGGGAAAAACAGTTACGCAACATTCTGATTATGATTATGTTTCTGACAATGCAAGAACATTAAAAATTCCAAGTCAAGTACTCCCAGGCACTTGAATTCTTTTTCTTTCTTTTTTTTTTTTTTTTAATGGCACTAGGGATTAAACCCAGGGACCTGTGCATGGGAGGCAAGCATTCTACCAACTGAGCTACATCCCCAGCCCTTGAATCCACTTTTAAAGTAGGTTTTGAAACAATCATATTATATGATTGTACATACTGGCAAACAAAATAATTTATAAGTGCTTTTTTAACAGTGTGAATAAATGATACAGACTTTCCAAATAGAGTATTCCTCTTTTGGTGATTAGACTTATTATTTTTATATAATGAGCCCACTGATATGTAATAATTTAAAATCCTTAGGGAAAAATGTTTCTAATCAAATTTTCAAAGATACACCATCACTTAGCAGAGCCAAAATTATATTCAACAATAACTTTGCTTATTTATTGACTAAATTCCACTGAACAAACAATAAGCAAAAGCAACAAAGCTAGCTATAGAATATGAAAATTCACTAAGGTTTGTATCAGAATAGCAGTTTATTAGCTGTATGATCAACTTTACTGGACTGGGTGAATTTCTTAATCTTGCCTCCTTGCTGCTTCTTAATTATGACAATTCTTTTTTTATATCCTCTATTCTTGATAATATTCCCACCTTTACCAGGGTCCTGCTTCAGTATTTCTCTCTTAATTCTTCATTGTCTTCAAAATTCACCAAAGTCTCCTCATAAAATCTTGATTTTAATGCTTCCTTAGAAATTTCCTAATGAGTAGGAAATTGGATTTCCCCTCAAAATGAAAATAGTTTTTTGTTTTTTCCCCAATTATACAAAAAATAATTGTTCAGTTTGAAAATGGCTGAGTGAATTATTCTTTCCTCAGAAGTCAGCCCAAAACAATAAGAGAAAATAAAAAGTAAAATCACAAACCTAGGGCTAGAGGTGTAGCTCGGCGGTAGAAAGCTCACTTAGCAAGTGCAAGGCTCTGGTTGCCAAGGGAAAAAAGTCCACAAACCTCTTCTCCAACAAACTATCAGATAATCTATAACCTGAGAAAACAGAGGAGCAATAACTGACTCAGTGGCAGAGAGCTGGGTGTAGAGGTGACATGGATAAAAAGGAAGCCAACAGAGCAGGCAAAGTTCAGGACTTTTAGGCACGAAGTGCTACAGAAAGTGTGGGCAAAGAAAAGGAAGGAAAATGGAAAGGTATGTTGAAAATTTGTCTAAGAACTGTTGGATTTCTTAGATTTTTAATCCCATACTTAGAGACATTTACTATTTGACAAACTAAACCAGAGGTTCAGGACTTTGGATACCAGACATAGGAAAGTGCAGAGGGGAGGCTGGGGACTAAAAATAGAAGGACTAAATCAAAAGTTTTTTAGTCCCTTCTTCCACGTAGCTCCCAGAACTCTGGTGGGCAAGCTTACACTTCCCTACTAGAACAGGAGAACATACTTTTTTCTTTTCTTTTCTATTTTTTAAGAATCTAACCTTTAGTTATTTGTTTTATGTGGTGCTAAGGATTGAACTCAGGGCCTCACCTGTGCTGGGCAAGCACTCTACTACTGAGCTATAATCCCAGCCCAGGAGAACATACTTTGCTAGGAAACAAAGTGGTCAAAGAGAAAAGACACAGATGCTGAGAGCTGGGAAACCACTAATAAAAAGCCAGAAGGCCACACAAGCATGCCCTGAAGCTCACCTCTACACAGCCCCGCCTACACACACACACACACACACACACACAATCCAGGAAGCATAGTTGTGCTCTACTCACAGATGATCAGTTTTTAGGAAAACTTCTAACATAAATGACAGACCAAAACATAAAGTTTGAAAAAAACACTAAACTGTGGAAGGATTAGACAATAAAAATAGATTTTTGAGCCTCAGTGGTAAAGTGGCACTTTGCAGGAGGGAGGCCCGTGTTCCATCCACAGCACCACAAAAACAAACAAACAAACAAATAAATACTGGTTTCTTCCAAGTTAAGAGAAATTATTACAACTATGAATAAGACATAAGAAGGAGGTGAGGACAAACTGGAAATTAAAAATGATTGCTGAGAAAAATTTGGAGGATAAGCTGAAGAAATAGAAAAAATAATGGTTAAATAGGCAGGAAAAAAATTAGAGGATCAATATAGGTATTTCAGAGAAAACAATAATAAAATGGAGAGGTGAAATTACCAAAGAAATAATACTGGAAATTTTCCTAGTGAACATACTGAACCACTATGGTTGCTGCTCAATTCTAGATTGTATTAAGCCAATTAAGATCTGGAAGACTGCCCCCCCCAAAAAAAACTCATACCTAAAGGACATGAGCTTCCATAATGAAAGAGCCTACTGAGCATCTAAGTACACAGACTGAGTAGTCCTAATATGAAAATCTGAAATGCTCCAAAATCGGAAACTTTTTGAGCATAAACATGATGCCACAAGTAGAAAATTCCACACTTGACTTCATGTGATAACATCACAGTCAAAATACAGGCCCATAAAAATACTGTGTAAAATTACCTTCAAGTTATATGTATAAAGTTTATATGTTTAGACTTAAACCCCATCCCAAAGATATTTCATTACGTATATGCAAATATTCCAAAATCTGAAATGGGAAATAATTCTCATCCTAGGGAACACTGAACCTGTGCTGAAGACTTCCTGAGAAGGAAAGAGTTATAATCAAAGGACTACAAATAAAATGGTATTTGGTTTCTGAACAACATTGGAAGCTAGAAATTAGTTTCCTACCTTGAAGAGATAACCAGTCTAACTATCAGTAAAATATGAGGTTAAAATAAATTGTCAGACATGCAAATTTTAACCCATATTAGATAATATATTCTTCCTGTAAACTCTAACCCAAGGAAGATGTGTGATAGGGAAGAAGAAATGTGAGTTCTGGGGAGCAAGAAGGGAATCTCTTGAGAGGGGGTGTGTATAGGGGAGGGTTTAGAGCTGCTAGAGGGTAATCAGCCCAAATAACCACACAAGGACAAAGGCTCCAAGGTGAAGGATCTTGAGGAGAAAATAGATTGACTTTTAGAAAATTGAGAGTGCAAAAGCAAATGGAAAAATGACTATGTAACAAATCATTACAGAAAAATAAGAAAGTTACCCAAGAAAATAGGAGCTGCAGGTATAGCTCTGTGGTAGAGGGCTTGGCAAGCAAGTGTAAAGCTCTGGATTAGATATCCAGCATCACCAATAAGGGGGGAAAAAGAAGAAACATAAAAACCACCTGCTCAGCAGTTAATGTTATTTAAATATTCATCAAAATTGTGATATAACTAATGTGAGGATGCAAAGAGAGAGAGGATAGAAGTAAATTCCTATTCACCAAAAGAGGAATTCAACACAATGTGTAAAAATTGCTGAATCACAAAAAAGCATAAATATACTATTTAGAAAGATGAAGGTAAAAAAATCAAAGAGTTAAAATATTTGAAAGTAGAACCAAGTGACAACTATCATAATCTCATCAACGGGCAGTATCTGTTTTAACATTTTCAGTATCTTTATATACATATATGGCAAGAATGTAGTTTCATAGCACAGAGATGGCAGGTATTAGAAACATGGTTTGAGTCCAATCCTGTTTTGTACTATGTGTATGATCTAGACACCTCAATGCATCCAACTGCAAAATGGATGCTATTTCACCGGGCTATTGGGGATGAAATAATTTACATAAAGTAATCAGCTTAACCATGGAAATGCATTAAGTTAAATAAATGTTAAAATATACTTTTTTGGAGCTGGGGTTGTGGCTCAGCGGTAGAGCACTCGCCTAGCATGTGCGGGCTCTTGGTTCGATCCTCAGCACCGCATAAAAATAAATAAAGGTATTGTCTCCAAATACAATTAAAAAATAAATACTTAAAAAAAAATACTTTCATGTATTTATAAAACAGATATTGTTTTGTTAAAGTAACTAAGTCAGAGAAAGTTCATAATGAGAAATCACAGAATATCTCTATTCCAATACTTAATTATAAAAAAAATTCTTATAAGTATAATTTTGAGGAGAAAACCCAGTGTTTTAAAGTGAAAGACCAACATGCCAGATAACAGCTGAAATTCAATAGACCACAAAGCTATGGGAAAATTTGTCATTTACCCCCAGAGAACTAATCTCCAGACTTTCTCTATACAAGTTTACATGCTAACAAAACAGGTTTACTTTGGTAGGCTTACCAAATTTTAAGTAATAGGTACCAATTGATGGACTATCTATGGGTTTTAGGTGAACTTCTTACCTGTGCTAATGCTGCAGATGTCCATAAAAGAAAGTGAAAAATACCATTGTTTTAGGCTGAGTTTTCCAAACATTTTCACACACTTCAGAGTGAAAATTTTCTTCTGTTTTGTATTCATCTCAGAATTATAGCCTTGAAAGTGAGGCCCCTAATACACGACCAGTATAATTCCACATCTTATACAACCACAAGAATGAGATCTTAATTAAAATAAGTTATACTCCATGTATGTATAACATGTCAAAATACACTCTTCTATCATGTATATATAAAAAGAACAAATTTTAAAAATCTCTAATTTAATCCCAGTAGCAGCATCTGTCTGTCTCCGGTTACATATTTGCTTAGCTTTTCATGTACAGATACTTGGTTGAAAATGAAAATGTAACTTGAAAATAGAGAAAAACAGATTAAATTTTGCTATGCCACAAGTATTTAAAATATTCCCTTTAAAAAGAAACTTCACTTAAAGTGTATAAAAATCTGTTCAGATCTCAAAGGATAAACCTTTAATAAGTTTCACAGGACCTGAGTTAGGCATTGTTGGTTATTATGTTTAAAGTGACTTTGATGATTCAAAACTTATAACAATAACTCATCTATCTTGGTAGTAGAAATAGAACTAATGATGGCAACCATGTTGCATGATCTTGTGTATGCTATAAATCTATAAATATTTTTATTTATAAATTAACAATATAATTCTAAATTGGATTGTCAAGTGCTCTGAACTAGGACCATTAATAATGGGCTGGCCCTACTTTGAAAATTGTCAAGATTGACAGCCTTCAGTATTAAGACATATTCCTTTGGTTTGTTATCACTTCATAAAGCAATGCAGATAAAATAAATGCAACAAACATGGAAACAAGGGGAAAAAAAACGGAGGAAAAAAAAGTGAGGCCTCTGAGTTTGATCCTGAGTACTAAAAAAAATTATTAGAGTTCCACATAAAATTTTCCTAGCTATTATTTTGCTAGAAAACTATGAGTTCATGCTCAAAATCTCTTTTGTAAAATGTTGTTCTCCCTTATCTTATATATGGTCCAGTGTGGGGAGCTACATTGAGTTACCATGCCTTCCAGTCCTGATGCACCACAGGGAACTGTAAGATCACTATAATCTGGCGCGATAGTGCCATGATTCCTGACTCAAGTTTTTTTCCCCACTAGGATAGCAAGGCCAGTCTTCTGAATAGGCACCCCTGTGGTTGAGCTACACTCACCTATTCTTTTGTAATCCTACCCCTTTGCCCTATTTGGGATAGAATGTTCCATGGAAACTCCCTTTGTGTGTCCCCTTCTCTTGCTCTGCCTTTGGGTGTGGCCTTCCCAGATGTCAGTCAATCTGCAGACAGCAGACATCATGAACTTAGACTCAAGCCCCCCCAAACCTGACCTCTTGCCTCATTTGAATGGCTTCTCCCCAATAAAAGGGTTCAGCACGTGTTCTCTCTCTTTCCACGGACCCCTAAGATCAGAGAAGCCATCAGAGGACCCAAAGAAAAAGGTATCTCTGTTTCTTATGTGATTATTTTGTGCAGCCCAGTTCACCTGGAGTGACCTTGACTGTTTAGTCGTGAGACACGACAGTCCAGAATGTCATTGAATTATTAGTTTTCAAAGTAGGAAGAAAATTTAATTTCTAATTATATTTGTCTAAAAAGTAAAAAAAAATTAAGATTAAATTGAATATATGGCTGACAATGTTACCATCCCTCATTGTCATATGTTCACTTATCTGATGGTATGCTGCTCTAGAGGGAAGAGTAGGAGTCCCAAGGGCTGACAAGTTAAGGCAGTCCTCCTTACTTTACTCACTATCAGAGTACTGCAACTGCTGCACATGATGCTAGATTGGATTTGTGGACTGTATTATTGTTTAAATTTTTTTTAGTTGTTGATAGACCTTTATATTATTTATTTATATGTGGTGCTGTGAATTGAACCCAGTGCCTCACACATGCCAGGCAAGTGTGCTACCACTGAGCCTCAACCCCAGCCTAGGACTGTATTATTTGAAAAGAAACTTTACAATACTTTGTAATAAGATATAACCATAGAAATCTTACTACACACAAAACTTGCTAGTTAATTCAAGGCAAAGTACTTACATAACTTGTTGAGCTTTTAAGAGGAGTTAAGTATTTTTCTTCCACAAAATGACAAGTGCTCCAAATTTTATGACCTTTACTAAGATTCTCAGAAGGTATTTAGCAAATAGGTATATTTTGAAAACATCCATGCATTTCATCAGTAATGTCATAATATAAGTAAACTCTTCATAGTTTTTCTGTGACTGATTACTTCAGGGTATGTTTTCAATTTATATTCCAAAATTTTTCAATATTAAAAACGAACTCTGCATTAGCAAGCAATAATTCTAGAATTCATCCATGCAATACTTCTCTTTTTGTGTATGAGTCTTTACCAGAGAATATATCCTTGCTCCTTCTGGAATCTTTGTCACTTTCACAGAGCTCCACCTCATCTGCTTCATTTTAGAGACCAAGACCTGCACTTATCACATGCGAACCAAACATACCAGTGGCAGATGTGGGGCCCCAGAGCTCACCTCCCTCCCTATTCTCCTTTCTCATCTTCCTCTGGACTCACCACGGATACAGAGTATCAGCAGCACCAGGAGCTGAGCAAAGCACTTCATTTTTATTTTTTCCCCCCACACTTTTTAGTGGTACATTATAGTTGTACATATTGATGGGATTTGTTGTTACATATTCATACTAGTACTCAATGTAACAATATAACTTAGTCAATATCACTCCTCAGCATTTCCCTCCCTCCCTCTCAACCCTTGGTCCTTTTTTTTCTATTGATTTCCCTTTGATTTTTAGGAGATCAAGCCCCACCATTGTTTTTCTTTTTCCTCTCCAGCTTCTGCATAGGAAAGAAGATATAACCCTCTGAGTTTGTCCTATTTTGCTTAACATCATGGTATTTGGTTCCATCCATCTTTCTGC